AGGAGCGGATCTAGAAATAGAAGAGTACACTAGAGAGACGCTAGCAGAGAGCGGAGAGTGATTTCTAACGAGCATCCAAACAGAGGACGGACGTATGGGTCCACAAGAGGAAGGGGTATTTCATCCTGTAGCGCCACTGGGAGTCAGCAGACGAGAATTATCACGAACATCAAAGGAGGCTCTATTGGCAGTAGGCCAATCTCGAACGAACGACCTACGCGAGACATACGCTTATGCGAGTGGAAGATGTGACGCACATGCGAGTTGAACCAGGAAAAAGCTCAGCCTAGCGACTCCGACAGGAGGGAAGTTTCAGAGCCTCAAACAACAGATAAGAACAATCAAACGGGATGTTCACGGGAAGCAACAGCGATAGCCACAGCGCTCGAACCTCTTAACAGGTCCCTGGAGACGTTACTCACAAGGTTATCCAGGACCAATGAGCGCAACGAGAAGTCTGAAAAGGTGTTCAAGAAGTTTATGTTAAGGTTGAAAGGATGAACCCGACGGTTGTGTAGATATCTGGATAGAGTATTGAAGCTGCATTTTGAGGAAAAAGAGTGGACAGAAAAACAAGAAAACAGTGCGGTCACCAGCAACTAGGAAGGGCAGGCCCTGAATTGCGCGATGGCCAAAAAGCAATACAGCGGGATACTGAGTTACCCCTTCCTCTTGTGGACCCATACGTCCGTCCTATGTTTAGATGCTCGTTAAAAATCACTCTCCGCTCTCTGCTAGAGTCTCTCTAGTGTGCTCTTCTATTTCTAGATCCGCTCCTGTTTACCAGGAGGCCATCGAATCTGTACATTATAGCCTGAGTGCGTTTTTCAATCATTGCGTTCCTCCTTGTATCGAGAGTACCAAGAGTCTACAGGTCACCTCTCAATCGTTATTCTCTTTCTTCAGCCTCCCTTGTCTTTCAGGATAATTTCCTGGCAGAGTCGATATCTTTTCTGTCTTTTAAGCGTTTCTCGATTTTATTAACATCCTGTCTGTTGCGATTTATTTCCTCCGCAGGCTTTTTTTTTTCAACATGAACTGCTCTTCCCAGTTCACTCAATCTCGTCCGAAACTTTTCTCCCCTTCTTGTTCCGAGTCTTCTTGGTTTTTTCCACAAAAAGATCAATCATCGATTTCGTTTGTTTCATCAATATAAGCTTCTTGGAGCTATCATTTAGCTTAGGTATCCTCAACTTGTCTAAACTCATTTTGGTTTATCTTTTTGTACTGCTCACTCACTTGATTCGCTTGCTACCGTATTTGTTGTCTGACAACAGATAACATTAACACAAAACGATAGTGTCCAAAAAATTTAACTGAAAAACTTTATGATAAAATGCTAGCACATCTGATAATGTCAATATCTTTAAACGATAGTGCACTCGCTACCCAATCAATAACAATGAAAATTAATAAGTTATAAAAAATCAAAAAAAAATTCTTCAACTCGAGAAAGAAAGAATCAAAAAATGCTTGTGTATTCCAATTGGTCTGTCGCTATTTAATAGTTGAACTGGTTTTTTTAAGAAAGATTTTTCTCTGTTTAGTGTAGCACTAAGCAGAGAAAACTTGAAGTCAGTATCTTTCTCAAATGGGCGACTGTTGCACCCACAGAGTTATGTGTTACCTATCTGCCTTCGGATTGCCCGAGCTAGACCTACTAAAACTCTCACGGCAATAACTTTTCAAAAAATTCAATTTCGGAATCCGGTCCGAATTTAACCAGAGTCGAATTTGCAGGACGAAAGTCAAGCAGGACGTGGAAACAAAGGAAACTTGCTCAGGAGATTAACGAGTGAATCTACTCGCGAAGAACAGGGCCATAATTTCGCTAATTTGACCGGGACTCTTTATCGAGAAGGAATGTCGGAATCCTCCAAAATTTCGATTGAAAATCAAGCAGTAGGAGGCGCACCTACTGACAACACCATGGTGAATGGGGTGACAGAGAAAGCGGCAACATCTTCCATGTTTTCGGAACAAGCAAAGAACAATTTGGGAAATTTCTTTACGTTTACCATGGGAAAGGGAACTGGCGCTAAAATCGACACCCAAAAAGAGGATGAAGACAATGGAGAAAATGATGACTCTGAGACTCAAGTGAGCTTGAGCAAATCAACTGATGAAAACGAGGCATCCGCAAACATGGAGAATGGCTATTTGGATCAATTTCGTGCGGTCAGAACCATAAACAAGACTGTTGATGGAATACAAAAATTCATGACAATGACCAATTAGGACATGCAATAAGGAACGACTATTTCAGGAAATAAGGAACGACTACATGCAGGTCAAGAAACACACTAGAGGAACTAGAAGAGACAGAGTACGAAGGACCTTCGATTCAAAATGGACAAATACTCCAGTACCAAACGGAGTCTAGACCAGTAACAAACTGGATAGCATGGGTGAGCAGAATGAACAAATCTCAATGAGATTGAGTGAACTGGGAAGAGCAGTTCATCTTGAAAGAAAAAGCCTGCGGAGGAAATAAATCGCAACAGACAGGATGTTAATAAAATCGAGAAACGCTTAAAAGACAGGAAAGATGTCGACTCTGCCAAGAAATTGTCGCGAAAGACAAGGGAGGCTGATGAAAGAGAATAACGATTGAGAGGTGACCTGCAGACTCTTGGTACTCTCGATACAAGGAGGGACGCAATGATTGAAAATAGCACTCAGGCTATAATGGACAGATTCGATGGCCTCCTGGTAAAGAGGAGCGGATCTAGAAATAGAAGAGTACACTAGAGAGACGCTAGCAGAGAGCGGAGAGTGATTTCTAACGAGCATCCAAACAGAGGACGGACGTATGGGTCCACAAGAGGAAAGGGTATTTCATCCTGTAGCGCCACTGGGAGTCAGCAGACGAGAATTATCACGAACATCAAAGGAGGCTCTATTGGCAGTAGGCCAATCTCGAACGAACGACCTACGCGAGACATACGCTTATGCGAGTGGAAGATGTGACGCACATGCGAGTTGAACCAGGAAAAAGCTCAGCCTAGCGACTCCGACAGGAGGGAAGTTTCAGAGCCTCAAACAACAGATAAGAACAATCAAACGGGATGTTCACGGGAAGCAACAGCGATAGCCACAGCGCTCGAACCTCTTAACAGGTCCCTGGAGACGTTACTCACAAGGTTATCCAGGACCAATGAGCGCAACGAGAAGTCTGAAAAGGTGTTCAAGAAGTTTATGTTAATGTTAAAAGGATGAACCCGACGGTTGTGTAGATATCTGGATACAGTAAGGAAGCTGCATTTTGAGGAAGAAGACTGGACAGAAAAACAAGAAAACAGTGCGGTCACCAGCAACTAGGAAGGGCAGGCCTTGAATTGCGCGATGGCCAAAAAGCGATACAGCGGGATACTGCCAAGAAAATCTTCGCCTCGCCAGAGCCATTCGAGAAGAACGTGTCAACGCTCTTATCGCTCAGGGTCATCTTCTTTCAATATTACTGACCGCTCTTTGGATGCTGTCGCACGCTTCTACCTTCTGATTGTTGCTAGCCCAGATGGTGAGGTCGTCTGCAAAAATGGAGTTTCTGACTTCGTCGGGGAGGTATTTGGCAATGGTGTTGATTTAAGGTTTCCCCATCCTGAGCAAAGGGATGATGGTGGCGTTCCTCCAGGGTTGTGGCACTTCAGCCTCGTTGAAGAACTGGTCGTATTACGAACGCATTAAAGAACTGAATCTATCATCGCTGGAATACAGAAGGAAAAGAGGGACAATGATAGAAATGTATAAAATCTGCTATGGTTTGTATGATAGGAATGCCACTGCGGGACTATTCGAGCGGAATGATAGGGATTCTAGAGGTAACGCATGTAAAGTAGTAGTACGTAAAGCAAATCTAGAAATGCGAAAAAATTTCTTCACGATTAGAGCACCTCTCGACTGGAACAATCTGCCACAGGAAACAGTGCAAAGCAAGACCATCGACGAATTCAAGTGGAAACTGGACAAACATTGGAAAGCGATTGGAATTGACATGTACGAATTCGAACGGAGACAGGAAAAAAAAACATTCGAAATGACCACAAGAGGCACTGCCTAATGGTCATAAAAACTTGACTTGACTTGACTTGAAGATGGACAGCAATTCCTCTTTCGCGGCCGGCCCGAGGTCCTTGAGGAACGTCGGCGAGACCTCATCACGACCTGCGGCACCTCTACTTCTCATCTTTTTGATGGCGCGCTTCAGGTCATTCATTTTGAAGTCGGCTGCCGCGCATTCGTCGCCGCTAGGGGCTTGCATCCATCTCTTCGCTTCTTTGATGCGGTCGCGTTCTGTTTTGGTGAGCTCCAGTATGCTGTCGGTAACAGTACGCAACCGGAACGCCAACATAGCGAGGAAAGGAAGTTCGTCAGAGTGACCGAGGAAGCTCGTCAGAGTGACCACAGACCGCTGCTGGATCGCCACTATCGAGGAAGCTTGTCTGAGTTGAATTATCTGTAAATGCTTTTGTTGGTATCTCGGTATAAAGTGAAATTAAGTAGTAGTAGTAGTATGGATCTCAGCTTCGTTTCTATATGTTTGTCATATAATCTTGACAATTGTATACAACGAATTTCTGCCACTTGACTAGTCATATGTCTTAGTATCATTATCGTCAATGATGATGTCAGTTTTCAGACATCGCAAATTCTCAAATAAATTCAGGTTTTAATTTTGACTTTTCCATAAAAATATTTCCACTTCCCTTCACTACCCAAAGGACTGCACCTACCGGAATTACGGAATAGCTTGCCTTTTGCACTAGCCGTTGGATTAATTTGAAAGTAGACTAATTGACTTCACTTCACTATTAAAATAAAAAAAAAATTGGTTTCAATAATTTTTCCTGAAAACATAAGTTAATTTAACCCAGCTACGTGGAGAGCAACCGGAATTGATGTGAGAGACATGACAGGAATAGGATATTACGATGAAAAATCCACAAAAGGCGCACTGCTTACCGGTTATGAAAACTTGACTAGAGTTTTTTTTCAGACCTGTGCTGAGCAGAAATGGGAATAGCTGAAAAAATTTCCGAAATCGAGTTTGAAATAAGCCGTACACAGAAAAACAAGAATACAGAGTATCACTTGGGTTTATTGAAGGCTAAACTAGCAAAATATCGTCAACAGTTACTGGAGCCTAGTGCAAAAGCTGGAGTTAAAGGAGATGGTTTTGATGTTATGAAATCAGGGGATGCACGAGTTGCACTGATAGGTTTTCCATCTGTTGGAAAATCGACAATTTTATCGAAGCTAACAAAAACGCACAGCGAGGCTGCTTCATACGAGTTCACCACTCTTACATGCATTCCCGGTGTCATAAACTACAATGGAGCCAATATACAGCTTCTAGATTTACCAGGAATCATTGAAGGTGCCGCACAAGGAAAAGGCAGAGGAAAACAAGTAATAGCTGTTGCAAGAACTGCTGATTTGGTAATGATGATGCTTGACGCATTAAAAGGTAAATATAAATTTTATGGCTCAAGAAAAAACAACGGAGTCATGATGCCTAAAATTAATTGAGTTATGATTTCCGTCTTTTCTTTTAAAATCTTTTTTCCACGCAAAACTAGGTACCACAAAATTGGGTCGAGTCATATCTATCTATTATATATTTAAATGCGGGTTCACTATCTCGCCATGTTTAAGCTTTTTCAACGTATTATTTTTGCATGTTTAACAAAAGAATTTTTTCCACGTTTAAGCTATAACGTATATTGCAATGGTTAAGATTTTTTTTTTCGAGTTTGAATTCAGTGTTTATTTCACCAAGTTTGAAATTAGCAACCCTGGCGAAAATTCAAATTTTCAAACTTGGTGAAATAAATCTATTATATATTTAAATGCGGGCTTCACTATCTCGCCATGTTTAAGCTTTTTCAACGTATTATTTTTGCATGTTTAAGCTATATCGTATATTGCAATGGTTAAGATTTTTTTTCGATTTTCCAGTTTGATTTTAGTGGTTATTTCACCGAGTTTAAAATAAGCAGCCAATATTGGGATCCTGTCCGGATTCACCAAGGGGTTGCGAATTACGCCTCCAATTTTGAATGGCCAAATTTTTTTCAGTTAACGATATAAGACGATTTTGGTGATTTTTTCAAAAAATTTTAGAAAACTCAAATTACGAAATGATTTTAAAAACTTGAAGTTTACTATTAAGGATGGCGAATCTTGCCTCCAATCATGACTGCTCAAATCCTTGCAGTTTTCGAGATACGACGTTTTTTGTGATTTTTTTCAAAAAATATCAGGAAACTTAAATTAATTATTTTTCAAATTTTGAAATTCCCAACCCTGTAATTAGGTGCTGTCAGAGTACTCTCTGAGAGTACTGTCATGGATTGCGAATCTTGCCTCCAAATTTGACTGCTCAAATCCTTGTAAATTTCGATAACATTTTGAGGCTCTGCCAGGGAACTCCAGAAGTTGTAAATTTCGCAACGAAAAATGACTTCTCAAATCATTTTAGTTTTCGGGATATGACGTTTTTTGTGATTTTTTTCAAAAATTTTCAGAATACTTAAATTAATTTTGTTTCTTCTAATTCTGTTTTTTCTTGAAATTCACAACCCTGTAGTTGGGGGGCTGTCAGAGTACGTTCAAGGTGTCAGGGGTTGCGAATCTTGCCTCCAAATGTGACTGCTTAAGTCTGTTTTTGAGATATGACGTTTTTATGGTTTTTCAGAACGTTTTTCTGGAAAGTTCAAGTTTGAAGATTCTCAAAATTTGAAATTCCCAACGCTGTATTTGGGTTCTGTGAAGATACTCTTAGGTGTTTCAAATTTTTCAATCCAATGCGACTGCTCATCTGCTTTTAGTTTCCGAGATGTGGCGTTTTTTGATGTCATTTTAGAATGTTTCAAAGAACTTCCCAGTTTGCAATATCTGCGGGTCTTCATAATTTGTTAAATAGTCGAAGCAACGGAGGTGCGTTACCCGCTATTGTCATAATAAAGCCCTTTTATTCGTGACTCCATCTATATTTTAAAATTTTGTCGAAATAAACCGGTTTGAAACGTTTGATTTTTGGTTCAATTGTATAGTGAGTAAAGCAAGCTTGTTTTGCTCAAATAAATTTTATTAAGCTCTAAAAAGAAGTTTTAAAATTATAAAACCAGCTTTTGTAGTGTGAGTTTGCGCTTCAGCAACACAAAACTTCCAAAAAGTCTGAATAACTGTTAAAAAAGTTTTTTTTTTTCGTTTTGTAAGTCGCAATTTTGAAAAAAGCAATCCTGTAGTTGGAAACTGTGAGGGTAATCACTTGGGTTGCTAATCTTGTCTCTGAATAGTACTTCTCAAATCCTTGTAGTTATCGAGATATTACGTTTTTTAGAACTTTTTCGAAAAACTTTGATATAAAAAATTTAAAAAGTTTGAAGATCTCAATCTTATAGTGTGAAACTGTGAGGCACTCTTAATTTCGACATATGACGTGTTTTATTTTTTTTTTTTCACAGAAAACTTAGATTACAAAAACTTCAAAAAATTTAATTTCAATAGAAATATTTTTAAAAAAGTATTGAAATTCTCAACCTTGTAGTTGGGTACTGTTAGGGTAATCTCAGGAGTTTCGTGTTGCAAATTTTAAATCCGGTTGCGACTGCTCAAATGCTTTTAGTTTCCGAGATTTCACGTTTGTAATGTCTTTTTTTAATGTTCAAAGAACTTAGATATAAAAAAATTCACAAAATTGTATGGTTTCCCAACTTTTGAATTAAAAAAATTGATTAACTTGACAAAATTTGAAATTATGAACCCTGTACTTGGGTGCTGTCAGAGTACATTCAAACGATGCAATTTTTTTTTCTAATAACTGCGGCTTTTGTGAGTTGTCATAAATTCGAAACACTGGTTAAGATTTTTTACGATTTTCCTGTTTGAAAGGAGTGTTTGTTTCACCAATTTTGCAATTAGCGACCCAATAGTGGTATGCTGTCAGGGTTTCCCCGGGTGTTTCGATTTTGGCCCTCAAATTTGAGTAAACAAATCCTCCTAATTTAAGAGATACAGCAATTTTCGAGATTTTTTAAAAGTTTCGAGAAAACTTAATTTTTAAAAATTTCTGAAAATTTGAGATTCTCAACTCCGTAGTTGGGGGCTGTCAGGGTACTCTCAAGGGTTGCGAGTCTTGCCTCCAAATCTCACTTCTCAGGTACTTGTAGTTTTCGAGATGTGACGTTTTTTTATGATTTTTTCAAAACTTGTCAAAAAACTAAAAAAAAATTCAACATTTTTGAAGATATCAATAAGAAATTGTGAAGGTACTCTCAGGAGTTGCGAATCTTTCATTTGAATATGACTGCTCAAATCCTTGTAGTTTTCGATAAATTTTTGAGGCTCTGTCAGGGTACTCCCAGAAGATGTAAGTTTCGCCACCAAAGATGACTTCTCAAATCCTTGTATTTTTGGGATATGACGTTTTTTGTGATTTTTTTTCAAAAAGTTTTCAGAAAACTTAAATTAATTTTGTTTCTCTAATTTTGTTTCTTCTTGAAATTCAGATTCCTTAAGTTGGGGGCTGTCAGAGTACGGTCAAGATGTCAGGGGTTGCGAATCTTGCCTCCAAATGACTGCTCTAGTCTGTGTTTTTGAGATATGACGTTTTTCATGGTTTTTCAGAAAGTTTTTTCTTGAAAGTTTAAGTTAGAAGTTTCTTAAAATTTGAAATTCCTAACGCTGTATTTGGGTTCTGTGAGATTACTCTCAGGAGTTACAATTTTTGCCTTCCAATGCGACTGCTCATCTGCTTTTAGTTTCCGAGATGTGGCGTTTTTTGATGTCATTTTAGAATGTTTCAAAGAACTTCTCAGAATTTTATCGTTTTTCAAAGTATAAGTAAAAAAAATCCTGTGGTTGGGTGCTGTCAGAGTGCTCTCAAATGATGCATATCTTATTTCCAATATATGCGGGTCCTTATAATTTGTTAAATACTCGAAGCCCTTTCATTCGTGACTCGATCTATATTTTAAAATTTTGTCGAAATAAACCGGTTTGAAACGTTTGATTTTTGGTTCAATTGTATAGCGAGTAAAGCAAGCTTGTTTTGCTCAAATAAATTTTAATAAGCTCTAAAAAGAAGTTTTAAAATTATAAAACCAGCTTTTGTAGTGTGAGTTTGCGCTTCAGCAACACAAAACTTCCAAAAAGTCTGAATAACTGTTAAAAAAGTTTTTTTTTTTCGTTTTGTAAGTCGCAATTTTGAAAAAAGCAATCCTGTAGTTGGAAACTGTGAGGGTAATTACTTGGGTTGCTAATCTTGTCTCTGAATAGTACTTCTCAAATCCTTGTAGTTATCGAGATATTACGTTTTTTAGAACTTTTTCGAAAAACTTTGATATAAAAAATTTAAAAAGTTTGAAGATCTCAATCTTATAGTGTGAAACTGTGAGGCACTCTTAATTTCGACATATGACGTGTTTTATTTTTATTTTTTTTTTCAGAAAACTTAGATTACAAAAACTTCAAAAAATTTAATTTCAATAGAAATATTTTTAAAAAAGTATTGAAATTCTCAACCTTGTAGTTGGGTACTGTTAGGGTAATCTCAGGAGTTTCGTGTTGCAAATTTTAAATCCGGTTGCGACTGCTCAAATGCTTTTAGTTTCCGAGATTTCACGTTTGTAATGTCTTTTTTTAATGTTCAAAGAACTTAGATATAAAAAAATTCACAAAATTGTATGGTTTCCCAACTTTTGAATTAAAAAAATTGATTAACTTGACAAAATTTGAAATTATGAACCCTGTACTTGGGTGCTGTCAGAGTACATTCAAACGATGCAATTTTTATTTCTAATAACTGCGGCTTTTGTGAGTTGTCATAAATTCGAAACACTGGTTAAGATTTTTTACGATTTTCCTGTTTGAAAGGAGTGTTTGTTTCACCAATTTTGCAATTAGCGACCCAATAGTGGTATGCTGTCAGGGTTTCCCCGGGTGTTTCGATTTTGGCCTTCAAATTTGAGTAAACAAATCCTCCTAATTTAAGAGATACAGCAATTTTCGAGATTTTTCAAAAGTTTCGAGAAAACTTAATTTTTAAAAATTTCTGAAAATTTGAGATTCTCAACTCCGTAGTTGGGGGCTGTCAGGGTACTCTCAAGGGTTGCGAGTCTTGCCTCCAAATCTCACTTCTCAGGTACTTGTAGTTTTCGAGATGTGACGTTTTTTTATGATTTTTTCAAAACTTGTCAAAAAACTAAAAAAAAATTCAACATTTTTGAAGATATCAATAAGAAATTGTGAGGGTACTCTCAGGAGTTGCGAATCTTTCATTTGAATATGACTGCTCAAATCCTTGTAGTTTTCGATAAATTTTTGAGGCTCTGTCAGGGTACTCCCAGAAGATGTAAGTTTCGCCACCAAAGATGACTTCTCAAATCCTTGTATTTTTGGGATATGACGTTTTTTGTGATTTTTTTTCAAAAAGTTTTCAGAAAACGTAAATTAATTTTGTTTCTCTAATTTTGTTTCTTCTTGAAATTCACATTCCTTAAGTTGGGGACTGTCAGAGTACGGTCAAGATGTCAGGGGTTGCGAATCTTGCCTCCAAATGACTGCTCTAGTCTGTGTTTTTGAGATATGACGTTTTTATGGTTTTTCAGAAAGTTTTTTCTTGAAAGTTTAAGTTAGAAGTTTCTTAAAATTTGAAATTCCGAACGCTGTATTTGGGTTCTGTGAGATTACTCTCAGGAGTTACAATTTTTGCCTTCCAATGCGACTGCTCATCTGCTTTTAGTTTCCGAGATGTGGCGTTTTTTGATGTCATTTTAGAATGTTTCAAAGAACTTCTCAGAATTTTATCGTTTTTCAAAGTATAAGTAAAAAAAATCCTGTGGTTGGGTGCTGTCAGAGTGCTCTCAAATGATGCATATCTTATTTCCAATATCTGCGGGTCCTTATAATTTGTTAAATACTCGAAGCCCTTTCATTCGTGACTCGATCTATATTTTAAAATTTTGTCGAAATAAACCGGTTTGAAACGTTTGATTTTTGGTTCAATTGTATAGCGAGTAAAGCAAGCTTGTATTGCTTAAGTCATTTTTATTAAGCTCTAAAAAGAAATTTTAAAATTATAAGACCAGCTTTTGTAGTGTGAGTTTGCGCTTCAGCAACACAAAACTTCCAAAAAGTCTAAATAACTTTTAAAAATACAGATTTTTTCTTTTTTTTTCGATAAATCTTGATAGGCAACTTGAGTCATTTGAAGAAAATGCTTGGCTTAGTTTTGGTCCCTTTATCTTCTCCCTACACGCCAAAAAATATCACAAGTTTTAAAGCTTGTTTTACGCTTGCGATTAGCGATACTTGTTCATGCGTTTTTCGGGGGACTTATTTATCATACTTGTACTAATTGCTACAGTTTGGAGGTTATCCAATGAAAAAAACTCAAATCTATTGGTGATTTTTATCTTTTTTGATAGGTGATATTCAGAAAGACCTGTTAACGCGGGAACTAGAAGCGATGGGGATTCGATTAAATACAAAAAAGCCAGATGTTTATTTTAAACTGAAAAAGACAGGCGGTGTGAAGCTGACATCTATGGTTCCACTGACAAATATATCTGAAAAACTAGCTCAACTTATCTTGCACGAATACAAAATTCATAATTGCGAATTAGTTATTCGCGAAGACATTACCACCGACCAGTTGATTGACGTCATTTGCGCCAACCGAATGTATCTGCCTTGTATTTATGTCTACAACAAAGTGGATCAAATCACAATTGAAGAAGTGAGTCGTATATTACTACTGGTCGTTTACCGGTCGAATTTAATTTTTGAATTTACATGTCACCAGGAATTTAATAAAAAACAGGGTTTATGTTAGTTACTGAAGCAAATAACTTATTTTTTTAAAGGTTGATAGAATAGCACATCTTCCTTACTGTATTGTGACCAGTTGTGAAATGGGCCTGAATCTGGACTACCTGCTGGATGTAATGTGGGATTACCTCGGGTTGATCATGATATTCACAAAGAAACCAGGTAATAAACCAGAGTTGGACAATGAAAACGGAATCATCTTGAGAAATGGAACCAACGTTAAAGGTGTTTGCCGATCTATACACAGAGACTTAGCTGACCAATGCAAGTATGCTCTTGTGTGGGGAACAAGTGTCAAATTTTCTCCACAGCGAGTGGGTCTTCAACATGTAATGCATCATGAAGATGTAATTCAAATTGTAACAAAATGAACTCGTGAATTTTTCTAATAAAAGATACTTAATTTAAAGATTTGACAAAACGGTTTTCACTTATGGGTAGGTTCAGGGGCGGATTTAGGGGGAGATGAGGGAGGATGCCACTTTCCTTCAGGGAGTCGACCCATAATATACTAATTTTGAAAGGGAGCGCGCGCCAAAACGCGATTTTTTTGTTTAACGGGATTTTTGACCTGGCTTTTCAAAAATGTGTTTTTTTTTCAGAAAATTTGATGAACGTAGTGCAGACTCTTATATAGGTCGCGATAATTTTTTTCGCGGTTTGACTTTTGGGTTGTTTTTAAGTTCACTTCTTTTCCTTTGTTAAAAGGAAGGCAAACTCCTCTATCGAACAGCGAAAGTGTTAATTCTATTGTGGAAGTGTAATTATGTAAATTGCGGAAGTGTAAATTATCGAACCGCGAAAGTGATATTGAAAGACTCTTTGGATGAAAATTGAATAAAAGGATGACATACGACGATGTTACTTGATGCAAACCTATTATAGCGAAATTGTGATAATTAACACCGTGGAGAGTGCGCGCGGAAATGAAGTTCTTCGAATTGGGTTCAGAATATAATTGAAAATTTTGCTTGAGACATATTACTTCAAATTAGATAGGATTAAACTGCGACTTCAAGAACAAGAGAAAAGGGGTAATGCTGAATTAAACATGAAACAATGATGTACCAGAAGGTTCCGACTACAAAAGTAAAACACAAAAAAATTGAGTTTTTTTTATTGCTCAAAATAGTCCCGGCACATGCTTTTCACCAGAATATGACTTTCAAATAGATTAGAAGCCATTTATTTGTGCAACATAATAATAACCCTTGCGATAGAATTTTTCCCCCGTAAATAACTTTAGGCACAGAATGGTCAAAATTACAAATGGTAAATGTAGGGTCATGTTATTTACACAAGCAAAGCTTGTGTTATAGTATAAGCTATCTTTTTTTCCAACCTAAGTTGCAAATATTGTTGCGGCGCAAATGTTGCGACAAATTGTAATCAATTTGAAAGTGTCCATTTTGATCAATAACCAGCTATTCAGTACAGCCAATGCTAAGGGTATTAACACAGACTATTTTATTACAAATAGTACTTTAATTTCGAAGTATCGTGGATCTGTAGCGTAGAGGTAGGGAAGAAGACCCTGAACAAAATAAGAGGGTTCGAACCTGGGCAGGGTCGGATGTTTTTAATGAACTTTTTTCGTATACTAGTTAAAATGCGTCCGCTCTATAAATTGATGCATGTTAGTTGATAAGTTTCTTTTTTTTTCAAATTGACTGATACTGCTAATGCGTCATAATTGGCTTGCGTCACTTAACAATTCAATAAACTCATAATTGGATTGTGTCACTTCAGAAATTTTGTAAAGTTTCACTCATTCAGTTTTTTCCAGTAGCGTTATCGGTCAAATTTTTGCTTGTGTATGCGAAGTGCAATTTCGACTCTATGTTAATTCTACTTTCTTTGTGTCTTCGGCACGCTTGGTTTGGAGGTAACGAACACGCGAACACGCCTGGTACGACGAAGGTCTATGGTTCGAATCTGACAGGACCTGTTTTTATTTTCAGACGTGAAATATTCCGCTTCACAAAAAATTGTCGGCTTTATTCATGTCTGCTTCTGCGACGAGCAAAAAAAATTGTGTATGCGTTGCTTTCATTTGAGAGTGAGGGGGTTTATTAACTTAAGTGTTGTTTTTTTGTCGTCCAAAAGGTTTTCTGTCAAGGTAATTTTCGGCTTTGTTGTCGTTTGGTAAGTTTGTTGCGCTGGCGCTGAGCGCCGTTCAGCCGCTGTTTTAAAATCGTTGTTTTTTAATAGACGAATTGTTCCCAAGTAGTGTTGAATTTAAAAAAATCTCATCTTGGAAGAAACCAAAAATGTCAGTTAAATTTGATTGAAAGTGTTAATGGCGGTATTGGAAAAAATTGCGATTATGATGTACTTTTCATTTGATAGTTGGAATATTTCTTTGTATTTGGGCGCTGAATCACGACCGACAGTTTTTAATCGGATACCGCACAAGTATTCCTTCATCAGATTTTTGAGGACCCTGATTTTGTGCGAGCGCTGAATCATCCTGACGAAAGGGATCAGATGAAACGATAAGCTGCCCATTTGACAGAAAAAATAGTTATTGAGTAATAATAAGTTTTTGAATTCGACAAAAACCTATTCTACCAAGAAGTTTCACTAATTTGATTCTACAATTAACTTACCTGCGAAAAAGAGTTGAAAGATTCCAAATTTGTTCACGGGATGTCCGGGTTGTTAGATTTATAATTGCTTTCGCGGGCAGTCAATATACAGAAAAGACTAAGTTGAGAAAATTGAAAAATTTATCGGAAGATGAGTACTGAACTTAAGGAGGCGTTCTAGATAAAATGAAAGTCAAACATCCGCATTCAGCGCAGAATTAAAATTAATAAAAATTGCCCATTCGGCAGCTTTAAAGCGGCCAAATGTTAGCGGAGTATCAGAAAAATTTGAGTGAAATAAACAACAGTTTAATGCGTGTTTGACCTTTTTCAAACAACTTGTGTCTTTTCGAAGAACTACACGAATATGTATTCTTGGCTAATTTTTTATTCAGACAAATGTAGGCAATTGAAATATTAGTTTTTAATTAAAATTTTTATACGAAATGAAAGTATCGACTCTCTGAGTTCAAACTCAAAGACATAAGACTTTTCATCTGCAACCCTTTTCTGTAAGGTTTTGATGGTTTGCGTGTCTCGGAATGTCCCGGACTACAAATGCGCGCGTTGAAGAAAATATATACGACGCGGAATATGTAGCGTGAGTGAGTCTTGCATATCGAATTATCCAATGTTCCAAATTGAATTGAGTCAAGAGAATTGGTCAAATTAAATCCCTATAGGACTCAAGTTTTATGTTGGCTGTCATGGGATGAATAATAAACAAGTTCAAAATTTATAGGCAATCAAATTTTTCTTCACGAAAGCTATTTGGGACCATCTACATTGCGGTAGGAACCTTCAGGGCTGCGCCCTCATATACGAGCAGTCTGGTGACCGCCCGACTAGCATGAAGCTCCATTAGCGTACGTTCAAAAACATGAAAATTTATTGACTAGAATAGTTTTGATAATTTTCTCAGAAACAGAAAAGAACAAGAAACATCCATTTAAATTGAAACTTGCATTTCTGAGAATAGATATGTTTAGGGGGAGGATGTTAACTTGCCTAACTTTGGCTCTGAGTTCAAATTTTCAGCCAATCGGAATAGAGAGTTCTACACGCAGCGCTCAGCAAATTTAATTTACATCGAACGCTGGGGTGGAGGATCTTAGCTTGGTCTATTTGAGGGGAGGGAGAGGGGGTGTTTTTTAGGATGTTAACTTGATCCAAACTTTGTATCACATAAATTGTGATCAGTTGGGGATAATTTGTGATCAGTCACAATTTGTCTCAGCGAAGGATTTAGAAAGGGAGCATATGACACCAACCACCGCCCCCAGGGATTTGATCCCATAGCCGCACAAAGAGTCCCTCTTTGATACTATTTTGCGACCTTCATTTTTTTTCTGATCGAACCTATAATTGGAATGTATATTTGATACATATTAAGTATAAGTAAGTGTAAGTATACTTAGATAAATATAAGTATATTTGTGCGCTGACAAAAAACATGCTTAGAGGGGTTAGTTAACAAGATCCTAATGATTTTATTTTAATTGAATGTTTCGATTTTTATGCTAGTCAAGATGGTTTTCAGTTTTAAAGTTTTTTTGGTAGTCGAGCTTTATGCCAAGAGCCAAATGGCCATATGTATCGTATCACTCAACTACGTCGCTACACCTCAAAGCTCTTAAATTTAATTGGTTATTGAAACAATTTTAACCGCATGAAATATAATTAACCGGTTAATCGCACCAAGTTATCTGGGAAATAATTTGCGTCCATGCATGCTTTTTGGGAAAATTTGGGTGCTGTGAGGAACATATGCCTTGCCAAAATTCCTGCGGTTTTATCAACTCCTGGCCTTGTTATCCAATTTCATTGTCACACGCATTCCTTGATTGTGATATTGAGTTACAGAAATTAGATATAATTTTACCTTTGTCTTCGTTTTACTTGCGTCATAAGAATTGCAGTTGTCGTCACACAAACTAAATTAGATTGATATCAATTTGCAGTTTTCAATTGAAACGTTGGAATATTTTCATGAATAAAATAGCAGTAGTTATCAGGTTATTTATATCAAAGTAGGGATAAGGAAAGGTGTGGGGATTTTTTCGACGGACTTACCGGTGTTTTTCCTCTAGCATTTTCGCTAAAGCTATATTCTATATGACAGGGGTTCAGCATTCATCTTCCAAGTTTTTTTTTCACTGGCAGTTGCTGCTCGTTTTTGAGGTCCGAAGGAAAGTTAAAAGCGACAAGCGAAAATGTAAGAAAATTAAACGCGACCAACATAATGTTATCCGACGCTAATATTATAGCGCTTTATTTTGCTGCCATAAATTAAACGCGTTCTTCTACACTCATTTAATAAAAATAATTTTATTTTCAAGCCAAAACTTGCATTCTATGAAATAGTACGTTTACAATTTAGTTCGGCTTGGTAGAATACCAAAAACGCATCAGCCTGTCGGGTGGCAGCTCCATGAGCAAAATGTATTTGCATACTTTTTTGTTCAACTTAGATCGTATAGACAGTACTCAAAAAGAACCGCAAAAATTCTTCCTATTTTAAAAACTAAAAAGAAAAATTGATAACCAATGAAAATGTTTTTTTTTCGGTGTTATTAATCAAACTAAAATGACCAAAAACTATAACAAGGGGTGGAAATTAACCATAAAGTACTTAAAAATTGTTCGTAGTCACAAATAATAATGTCTCTTATTTTAATGAAGAAGAGAGTCCATCTATCTATATCTATACTATATTTAAATGCGAGTGACAACTATCTCCCATGTTTAAGCATAATAATTTTGCATGCTTAACGAAATTTTTTTTTTCATATTTAAGCTATATCATATATTGCAATGCTTAAGAAAATTTTTCAAT